AGTTTGTTTGTCATATATTTTGTTATGTAACTTTAGGTGAGTGATTGAATCTCATGTTGAATTTATTAAAGGTTTGATGGCTTCCCTGCTGATGAAGTATGTTGAAGGGAATCACTTTTTTCAGGTTGCTTTTCAAACATTTTCTAGTGGAACAAGTGATTTGCGTATTTGTGCATTTCACACTGATTTAGAAACTCGAAGGACTGAATATTAGCATTTTCCTTGCTGATGCCTGCTCCATACAATCGGTGTGTGTGTGTGTGTGTGTGTGTGTGTGTGTGTGTGAAGTGACAGGCCTGTCTTGGGCTTTTGCCAATCCTTTTCCCTGTGTGAGGAAGATGTGGAACAGTTTTATTTCTGTCTGTGGCTACTTAGCCATCCACAGAGGATCGCCTATGAGAAAAAAAACTCTGCTCGATGTTAACATGGACATACACACACACACACACACACAGAGAGAGAGAGAGAGAGAGAGAGAGCTACTGATGCATTGCAGATAAACTGCAGATCCTTGTGTCACCCCTCCCTTTCTGTTCTCCTTTGCAAACCCCTTCTACTGTTGTTCATCTTTCTTTTATTTTTTGCCCTCGCAGTATCCATGACATCACTTGCTCCCCACCTCCCACCAGCACCACCCAGTACAGCTATCTACAAGCTGTCACACCCTGCTTACCTCCCCACAAGATGCTCTTACCCTTCCACCTCTCAACCATCCATCTCAGGAGGCGTACAGCCAATCTTTGACCTTTGCAGAACACTGAAGACGAAAGTTTTCAGATCCACTACAACATAAGATTGTTTAACAAATCATTATTGATTTGGCCTTGAGCCAAAAATCCATGGTTATGCAGACTCTGGCTCTTGTTATTTTAAAAGTGAATTGTTACCCCACCTAAGAAATTTGTGGACAAATAAAATGTTCTGGAAGTGTAATTAAGGTGTTCATTTATATGAAAATTGACGATTTGTCGCCGCCACCACCAGGACAGTGAAGTCTGGTAAGTTATAGGAGTGGATTCAAATGATTTTAGTTGCAGAATATCATCAAAACCCTAAAAAATTTATACAGAACTGAAATTGTTTTGTATTTTTCTCAATTATTTTCACTCAACCTAAAAGACAATGTACAAATAGATTTTCTTCCCTGGTGCGTGCATCAGAGCAGCTTTGAAACCCACCGGGGAAAAAATATGTTAATCAATGTACAGGGCACCTCGAAGGGGAGCTGATGAAGCAATAATGTAAATTCACCACTGACAGACCATGTGCCTGTGAAGTGCAATGTATGCACACACGTACACAAATTCAAATGAAGAAAACAAGTGATACGGTCAAATATTTTGACATTGTTATAGAAATTATGTTATTCATTTTAAACCAAAGGTTTAAAATAAAATAATTGTAACACAGTCTTTAATGCATCACTTCAGAAAAACAAGCACGCATATATATGCATCAGTACAGAGTTTTAACCTAAGTATGACATTTTTACAGTCTGGTGCTTTGAAGGACACCAGTGTTACAACTGCTAGTACTGTAGATGAATTTGACAAGGTTACCAAGGTGGATGAAAGTGTCATGTGTGGCTGTGTGCAGGCAGGAGTGGTGGACCCAAAGCGCAGACACAAGGAGCAAAAAGATAAACTCAAATGCAACTTTACTGGTGGATGGCTGACTGGAAATACAGGAAACTTATACTGGCAAGCAGATGGACAGACTACACAGCATGGGACGATGGCGATCATGGCACAGACAAAGGAAAACACAGAGCTTAAAGACACAGAGGAGCAATCAGTGAATGAGAGACAGAAGGGAAACACAGCTGGGGCAAATCAGGGCTAACGAGACAGGGGAAGCAAAACTTGATACAATAACCTGAGACACAGACTTCAAAGTAAAACAGGAAACATAACACAGAGACGCGGACTTGACAAGGGGATACTGCAACTAAGAAACACAGACAGAAACCAGAAAGTAGAACACGAACAAAGAAACCAAAACACTAGAAATGATAAATTAAGGCAAAATCAAAGTACAATAATAATGAAAACCCAAAACTCTGGGTTGATGACCGAGGTCTCCTAAGAGAAAGAAGACAGTCAAAGATGTGACATTTGATCGTTGACCCTTTCACACATAGTGGTCACTACAGTGAACAGCTATTCAAAGGCCGTTTTCTTGTATTTGTGTCAGTGTTGATGGTATACTTGCACATAAACCACTGATGTGTCACTCCATACACATCAGTTGTCCACCTAAGTGGACATGTAAACAATTCTTTGAAAAGTGCATGCTTAAAAAGAAAATGAAGTTCAAAAATCTTTTTTTTCATGCCTAAAGATGAATAAAAATACTTAAAAAAAAGTCCTGATTGAAGTTGTCATAATCAGAGATGGGCAGTAACGCGTTACTGTAATCTGATTACTTTTTTCAAGTAACGAGTAAAGTAAGGGATTACTATTGCAAAAACGGTAATTAGATTACCGTTACTTTCCCGTAGGAACGCTGCGTTACTGCGTTACTAAAACCGTGATTTTTTGCGAGAATGTCTCAGACAGTGACGTAAGCGAGTGCGCCGTTAGTGACAACAGCTGTGTGCAGATCAACAATGGATCACATATCGATTGTGGGAGAGAGTATGAGCGTGCAGCGTTTAAAGCGTGGAAGTACTGACCTTACTTTGAGTTTGATTCCATAAAAAGTGACAAAAACATTAGTGTCCGTTGTGCGTGGGAAGAAAACTTCTTTTTACAGCGAAAACCCCTAAACTTCCAAGCAAGCACCGAGTGCGCAACGACGTAATGGGAAATCACAGAGAAACTCGCGGATTCTTCAACTGACTGCGGCACACCTGCACCAGGGTAAACCTCCGCCTACCCGCACGTCCTGCTTTACAGGTGAAAATAGAGCAACAGGACCGCTAGTCTTTGACTTTATTTATTTTCTGCTGTGTTTTACTTGCATCTATTTGAAAGACGTGAGTGTAAACACAAAAAATATTTTATTTTATGTGCTGGAATGTGCTAGAAAATAGGTTTAAATGTTAAATAATTTATTCAAGTCAGAGAATGTTGCATATAATTAAATTTTTGCTTGATGCATAAAGTTAAAAGATTAAAACTAATAAAACAAGTTAAAAAAAGACTTTTCCATTTGATTACATTTTGTATGATGGATTATGTAGAAAAAGTAGAATTGGGCTGAAAGATCTATCGCTTTATCACCTTCAGGTTGTAAATCGTGTTTTTAAAAAGTAACTAAGTAACTAAGTAATTAATTACTTTTGAAAATAAGTAATCAGTAAAGTAACGGGATTACTTTTTTGGGGAAGTAATCAGTAATTAGTTACTGATTACTTTTTTCAAGTAACTTGACCAACACTGGTCATAATTCATGCATGAAAGGGTTAATCAAATGTCCTATTTTCATATATGGACCTACAATGTAATATAAGTGTATACCTGTGAAGTCTCTCTGTACTGAGGAGCTGAGAATTATCAGCAGACGTCTTAATTAATCTCCCTGTGTTTATGTCTGTCTGTTTATGTCTCAGTGTCATTCTTTCTCTCCTCTGGCTCATGACATACTGCTTCACCTCATGAATAAATAAGTGACAGAAAGGCAACAGGCAGCCTTGTTAATTGCATGAAAGATCGAAGCATCATTGTGGTAAGTATTACAATTGTTTAGTTAAGCTATAGATTCCCAGTCCTCTTGAATACTATTACAAGAAGGCTACATTAAAACCTTTAGGTAGATTAAGCTCTAAATATAATACTACAATTAGAGATGACTAAACTTGGTGACTACACCAACTAACACTCGTAAAGTCTCACTTTGAATCAAAATATATGTATTTTGTAAAAAGCAGTCTTAACTCCTGCTAATTGATGGTTACCTATTTTCAACCAGAAACTGGGCTTTAGTTTGACAAATGTACTAATAAATTGTAAATTTTAATACTATGCCATGGTTGAATCTGGAAGTAGTCTGACTTATTGACTTCACAAACACGAAGCATTTGTCATTATCCAGTTATTTAATTCAATTCAGTTTTATTTGTATAGCAACAAATCACAAAACACAGTTGCCTCAAGGAGCTTTATGTTGTAGATAATCCTAAAATAATACAGAGAAAAAAGACAAATCCCCAAGAATCAGATGACCACCTATGAGCAAGCGACAGTGGGAAGGAGAAACTCCATTTTACAGTTTTTCTCCATTGGTTTGGCTCATTTCTTGAAACAGAAATTACATTCTCAAAATAACATGGACAAACCTCCAAACCTCTTGGCAAATGTTCACAACAGAATGGCATTTCTCATTCATTTTATAAATGGAAAATGCCTTAGTACATGTCTCAATTGTCTCAGTGCATCTTTGCAAATGATTAAGTACAAGTAGCCTACAGTTATACAGTTAGCCCACATTTAGCACATTTTCCAAATGAATAGATCTTGTAGATCTAAACTGATTAGTTGATTCTCAGTCTAATGATCATTCTCTCCAAAACATGTCAGCATGATTTCATTGTATAAGTACTCGCATGCACAACTGTCTGTTCAATTGTCAAAATTGGTCAAGAACATAATACCATGAATACCATATATGAATTTCTTTGAATATTTGATAAATTGATGACAGTCATTGACAGTCAGGTGAAACTAGACTAACGAAGGGGTAGTGTCACACACAGGTGTGTTCCATGATTGTGTGCTGCCAAACACAGATATATAGAGCTTGACCAGAGCCAGTCCGATCTTTGAACATGGATAGACAAGGCCAAGCAAACGGACAAGGGGAAGCGCTTCCTCAAGGAAGAGGAGGAAGAAGAAGAAGAAGAAGAAGAAGAATGGAGGACTGAGAATGCGTGGTGGAGGAATAGGGGAAAGAGGCCGCAAATAATGCCATCACATTGAGACAGATCCGTGATGCCATCCTTCAGGACAATCATATATTCCAGAATATAAACACATTAAGCATCTCCACAATAGACGGGTTTTGAAGAAGCATCAGATGACAATGAAACAAATCTACAGGGTACCATTTGAGAGGAACTCTGACAGAGTGAAGGAGCTGCGCTACCAGTATGTAAATGTAAGTCAGTTACTGGTTGTCTCTCATTATAACCTTACCTGTAATCACAGTAAGCAGTAGTTCACTTATTTGGTTTCAATACCTCCTTTACCTGATTTCAGAATCAGTATTTGCTTCATCTGACTTTAACAATTTCAACAGAAAACTGCAGTTTACTGTATGATACAATTCTCATTATAATCCTTATTTTATTGTCTCCCAATCAAATCTATCTAATACTGTAGGTTTTACTGTAACATCTCAGTAAGTCATCAGTATTTCCCACTCCCCTTTCTATCAAATACCCCTGCAGCACTTCCTCATGGGCCTATCACTAGTTTAGAACCACTGGAGCAGTGGCCTGTAGTATATTGAACCTGTGGGGAGAACATGTAATTGTCTAACTGTAGTATATGACTCTTCTGTATGACTGATTTTATGTTCTTTACTCTATTTTAGAGAATAATGGCATTGGAAGGACATGAGACCCCTCACATCCTGGTGTTCGTGGATGAAGCTGGCTTCAACCTGGCCAAGGGCCGAAGACGTGGCCTTAATATTATTGGCCACCGGGCCACAGTGGATGTCCCAGGTCAGCGAGGGGGCAATATAACTATGTGTGCTGCCATTTCTGAGAATGGTGTGGCCACTCACATCCCCAGTCTTGGCCCATACAACACACACAAGCTCCTCATCTTCTTGGATCGCCTTTATACCGATTTTATCCCTGAAAATGAGAGAGGTCTCATAGGGCCTCACCTACCCATTCATGTAATTGTGTGGGACAATGTCAATTTCCACCATAGCCCACTCATTAGGGGCTGGTTTGCAACGCATCCAAGGATGGTCATGGGGTTCCTACCACCTTACTCTCCTTTCCTCAATCCGATAGAGGAGTTTTTCTCTGCTTGGAGGTGGAGAGTGTATGAGCATCATGCTCAGGATCAGCCGTTCCTGCTCCATGCTATGGATGCAGCGTGTGACGACATTACAGGAGATCAATGCAGGGGATGGTTGCGGCATGCACGCCGTGTCTTCCCTCGTTGCATCGCTAGAGAAAGTATCCGCTGTGATGTGGACGAGAATCTGTGGCCAGACGGACAACAGCGTGTAAATAATCAGGAGGGTGAAGACAGTGGACAAGAGCGGGAGAATGAGTACCGCGACCACTGAATAAGTCCTTGTTTTTTGATTTTGTGTTCATACAATTTGCTACTGTAATGTACATTTTCTTTTTACATATGTATGAAACTTTCTTTGCGTGTGAATAAAAAATGGTTATAACTTCCTTGGTAGTGTGAGTGCAATCTGTGATGTCAAACCTTGGAGGCTACTCTTTTCTGTTGTATATTTTTGGTCCTCTGCCATAGTGACAAAACATCTAAACATTTTGTATGGCAGCACTCACACAATGCCAAAGGGACGATGCATTTTGGGGGCACTGACTATTCAGATTAGAAAGAAATGTAGTTTTGACACATGAGTGAACAGTTTTAGGAGAGATATGAGCTTTTGCAGGTGGACCATGTTGTTGTGATCAACCATCCAGGTTTATTTTGACAAAAGCACCAAGAATGATGAGAATGTCCGATCTGTGTCGAGAAATGAGCCAAAGCTATTGAGAAGGATCTTTGCCATTTTGGAGACACTGACTGTTTAAATGCGAAAGGGATTTAGATTGAAGCCTGAGTGAACAGTTTTGGAAGAGATATGAGCTTTTGCGGGTGAGGTATAGTGTTGTGCTAAACTGTAAGAGTGTTTTGCCAAATGATCTTAGAGTTTTGAGAATGTAATTTCTGTTTCAAGAAATGAGCCAAACCAATGGAGAAAAACTGTAACAGGAAGAAACCTCTGGGAGAACCAGGTTTAGATTTGACAATTAAACGGTTGTTTGGACTTTGGTATATGTGCTCTGTGCTTGAAGCTATTGACTCCCTCATTTTTTATTCAGTGTAGTTGTACCAAAGTACAAAACTGATATATGCATACGTATATATAGATAGACAGACAGACAGACAGACAGACAGACAGACAGATAGATTTTATTTAAAAGGTAAAGGCAATATTTCTATTAGTGAAATGTATGTATAACTTTGAAAGTCTATAGCTATAACTACATGGAAGTCTACAGAGTCATCATTAGTGCAAATATATTATTTTCAATACACACTTAGCGTGTAGAATATGGAGTATGAAATTATTTCATAGGACATTTTTAAGCATAAAATATCACTCAACTGAATGTAATGCAGAAAGTGAGCGTGTGTTCACCAATCATATAAACCATAAACACATAAATAAATAATAAATAAATAATTATGACCCACTACCCATGGGAAAGATGAAACTTAGTTTTGTATTTCATGACACTTTTAGATGGGAGTATTGAAGAAAGTAAGATTATTCAGGTAACCTCTGATACAGGATGCAGCAACATCTGTTGATATTTGTTGATCAACAGTAATACACCTTTAAGCACAATTTTTTTTTCATTAGTGAACTACTTTTGCAAATGACCACCTCTGGCTCTACACAAAATGGCAAAACAAATGAACTGCATGTATGTTCATGTGTATATAGTTTACACATGAATGTGAAGCAAACACAGTCAAGGTATTATAAACTGTAGTTGAACGACTAGTTTCATTATTAGTCAGTTGATGCAAGGATGTTTATGTGTTAAGTTTACAGGTGAATGTCTTACATATGTTTGTGTTATTCTGTTATTACAAAAGATTGCTATGCTGCTGTTCATTTTTATGATCCTCTCGTATCGGTTTAATAAAAGGTCACGCTGACCTTGCAGCTTACTGTGAATATGTAACAGTACACCTCTACACTATGCAACTTAAGGTTGTCCACACCTTGACCCCACGCGGGTACACTTCAATACTGTGGAGGGCTCACTGCAGGTTGCAGGCTGGGACAGACTGGGGCTGACTGGGATGGGCTTGTCTCCTTGTTAGAGCCTGTTTCTACTGCAGTGCTATTTGAAAACACTCCAACCCTTCTGCAGTGCGCTGGAGCCCAAAACTGATGTTGAATGACTCCCCTTTTTCTGCCCAACCCACCCACACTCACTCTAAGTTGTACATCACACCACCACCGCCCTCATAGGGCATCCAAAAGCACCTCAAGGTTCTGAGTCGACAGCCCTACAGCAAATATATCTGTCTGAAATCCTGCAGCCAGTATCAGGGCCCGAAGAGAACGTCATGGGACAGTGATCAAGGGCACAGTAAAGTCTGCAAACAGAGAGACTGGGGTGTGGCTCCTGGAGTATAATTACTTACAATACACGATGGCGCTTAGAATAGGCAGACATGCATAAACAGGGCGAGAAAGTCATTGTGACTTTCTCTGTATCCCTCTCTGTCTTCCTCTCTCTCTTCTTCTCTCGCTGTCTGCCTTTCTGTCTCTGGAGCAATCTAAAATTGGCCAAGCTTGATGCATTTGTACTGCCTGACTAAACCTTTCAGCAGAAGGAAATGAGGGGGGGACATAAACTGTAGATCAAGGTGATAATTATTATTATTATTATTTGAAAAGCTTTAAATTTAAAGTGCAATCTCCAGATGTGCAATAAAGTATCTGTCTTGGTCCTTATGTCCGCACTGGCTTTGCAGGATTTTAAATATGGTTGCACTTGCAGAGGAGAGGTTTGAGAATTTTGACAGAATTAAATAAGCAGTGGAGGGGAAAAAAGGCGGATGCAGCTGTTTGTGGTGCATTACCTTCAACAATCATTTTCACATTGATCAAAGACACACGATATTTGAGAGAAGCTTCAAGATTGACAGGAGATCAATACCCTGATGGCCCAAGCCACAATGCAGCCAACCTACACAGTGAGGCTTCATTTGTTAGCTAAAACACATTTCCGTGTAGGTTGTACAGACTAATTTCTAAACAGTTCTGTAAATTAACAAAGATTATATTTTGTCATGATGGAGATTAAAAAGAAAACAAAAGTGGGTTAACATTTTAGTTTTCACATTTCACTGAAGTTAGCCCAAGTTATTGAATGAATACCTGATGTTTAGACATTCAATTGCAAGAACAGACTGTGTCAGGAGTTGGAAAATTCAATGTACTTTGTAGCTGTGCCTTAACCCAAACAGACTTCTCTTCATGAAAATTAATCCAGCTTCTCTATGATGATATTTTTCTTTTCACAGAAGTTTGGAAATCAATTAATGGTTAGAAGTGTTGGTAAACAGAAAAAACACTCAACTTTAAAGTTTGAATTACCTGTATGTGTGGCCATAGATATTTGATAAGGTAAGCTATTTATTTGGGATGGAGTGCCACTATAACTCACTTGGTTGAGCAGGTTGCCCATATGCCAAAAGGCTTCTAAGGAAGGCACAGGCTTTATTCCACCCTGGGCCATTTCCTGCAAGTCATTCCACCTTGATCTCCTCCTACTTTAATACAAGCTCTTTACTGCTCTGTCCAACAAAGACTAAAAATCCCACCCCCTCAAAAAATGGCTTGTTTTTGACTACCCTGTGCAGCAGTGATCCAAAAAGACAAACTATGGACAATATTAATGTAAACACAAGAATACAGCATGCAGACACGAACACACACACACACACACACACACACACACACACACACACACACACACACACACACACACGCTGTGGATCACTGGGTGGGCACTCCCTTTTACCTTCTTTATACCGTATTATTGACAAGAAGGATAAGAAAGTTTATTTTTTCAACCGAGAATAAATGCAACTGATACTGCTGTTGAACTGCATGTTGCTGTCCATGGTGCTGAACTAAGAGGGGGCTACATCTATCTATCTATCTATCTATCTATCTATCTATCTATCTATCTATCTATCTATCTATCTATCTATCTATCTATCTATCTATCTATCTATCTATC